TCCATCCATCCATCCATCCATCCATCCATCCATCCATCCAGATTAAATTTGATTATTTTAATAATCTGTATTCTTTTTAATTTACCAGAAACTTCAAAATAAATTCTCACCCTGTACTGAAGCCTGTTTCCAAGGTATTACCGCCACCAACTGGTAAGGTGCGTGACGTCAATTTGAGCCCCGCCCACTGAAACCGGTACTGAAAGGGGCTATGGAAACACGACGAGTCGAGTTGAACCGTGATGTACCAGCACTAACCGGTACTATGGAAAAGGGGCATAACAAAGACCCTAACAAACCACTATTCTGAGGAGTGATAGGGCAATCTGCATATGTATCGAGCTTAGTTCAGCTTTATAACTCGAACCCCACACTCTCTCCTCGGTAGAAAGTTCCTCGGATGAGAAGCGAAACGTCTTCTGTTACAATTTAAGTCCAGTTGTTTTTGTCTTGAACTTGTTGAATTTAAGCTTCTTACTGCCTTTCAGCTAAATTTTCAGTTATTGTTTGTTAACTTCAGCATTTTTTTAGGTAATTTCCTAATTTTTGTGTTCATTTCTGCTTATTTAAGCCTAGTTCATCAAATATGTTTGCTTTATTCTTTCTTCTGCTAATTTATGCATGTTCTTCATTTCAGCTACATTTTAGCATGTTTTTTAAGCTAATCTCAGCTGTTTTTCAGCAAGTTCTTCTGCAGTAAGCGTTCACGCTGCATTTTTGCAGGAAATGACATTTCTCTAGTTCACCTTTACAGCTCTCTCAGCTTCACACTAAACAGGCATTTCAGCAGAAATGTTAAAACATTTCAGTCACTTTGTCTCAGAATGCACCAGAAGTGTTACAGCTAGCTGCTGCTGCTGCTACGTCTACTTACACATCTGAAATTTTAGTGGAAATAACCAGAAAATGTGAAATTGTCAGCAAAGTGCATGTTTTTTAAATAGCGTGAAGGGCTATGCAGCTTGAGATACTGCAGTCGTTTGAAGACATCAACGATCCACTTCGATCCTGGCCCTGCTCTGACTAGCCATTAGCTCATCATTTCAGTCAAAATGACACTTTATTTCTCTGAACTGTGCTAAGATATTTACAGCAGGTAACATATTAATTGTTCAACCTTTCTACAGAACAGCTTTAAAAGATTTGAACTACCCCTTTAACGGCTTGGTGAGGTTGAGAAGTATTAAAAATAAATTAGTATTTAATTTCAAAAACATCAACGCTTCCTTTAAAGCCAGTAAAACTTTTGCTTTTCGTTCAATCCTTTAGACGAATAAACAATTTTTTTAATGAACTGCCTCGTAAATTTTTACAATTTCTGTCTAAAAATATTGCACAGTAACCCCCTTCCCCCCCCAAAAAAGAAATAAAAATCCCTGCTGAATATTTATAACATTTCCAAAGTTTCTTCTGTTTGAATTTAACACCACGGATCTGCAGCCGTCAGAGCTGTTGTCATGGAAACGCGACCCACATTTCAGTTAACGGGAGCCCGTGTAACTTTAATTACCGAAACCTTGGAGGAAATTTACGTTCATTCTGACAAACGTGTGGAGCCAAAATATCTTCATCCCAAACTGATGGTAACAATCACCAGCTGAACAATCAACGTCTTGTGACATAAATATGTAAATTATGTTGAAACTGTGTTCACAGCACGTGAAAGTGTTATTATAAAATAGTCTAAGTGCTAAAGATGAAAGATGATATTGGAGATAAACCCAAACCAACCAATCAATGTTGATGTATAATTGACATTTTTAATGACTGATGTCAACGAAATGACCTAAAAAGTATTAACGTGCACTATTACAGCCCTCATTCCAAATTTAATAAGGAAAAGAAAAACCTGTCACTTTAATTTGTTCATCTTTTTAATCATGTTGGTTTAATTTGTTTACGAACTGACTGATGTTTAAATTGCATCCTTTGTTCCTTTTTGCAGCTAAACCTTCACTACCTCTTCGTTTACCTAAAAACGCTTTATTTTTTCACATCGTTATATTTAGTTAGTGAAAACTGTTTTGTCATTTCACCTTTTTCTTGTTGAAGGACAATTTTAATAATAATAAAAGTTCCAATTCAAACATCTGTGTGTGAACGCACCGTTTTATTCATTCAACCTTTATTTATACAGGTTGGTCCCATTGAGCCTCATGCACATCTTCCCCCAGAAATTTTTGAATAAAGTAGATGCCATTTTCTGCAATCTTGTGTATTTTAATGGGTTGTTAAGCATCTACGTTTACCTAATGCAACAAGCAGTAGCCTGACCAACAGCTCTCCTTGTGTTAATAGAGCACGCTCCGCACCTCTCACACAACCTAACACCTCCCAGTTGACAACTATTGTAGCACACAATACAGACGCCCTAGCTAAGATGTACAGACGTAGCACTCTGCTTCTCTCACGCATGCCAAAGCGCCCCCTCCCTCCCAACTCCTACAGGGAAGGGGCGTTTAACTTTGGGACAAATTGAGTTTGCCGAATGGTCAGATTCTGACGAGTCTACTAGATTGATTGACAGGTGGTGTCAAGGATTCGACTCAAGCAAAACAAAATCATATATTTTACTGTCCCATTTAAGACTGTCATCATTTATTCCCAGATCTTAATTTGTAAACTGATCGATGCCAGAATGCAAATAGCGGGCAGGCTGGCTGGGGGTCCCCCCAGAACGTTTTGGATAAAGCAGATATGATTTCTTGCATTTGGGTGTATTTTAATGGGTTGCTTAATATCTATGTTTACCTACATTTGTCATTTGTAGACACTGCTTCTGTCAAGCATCTTACCCAACCCCCCCCCCCCCCCCCCCCATTCTTAAATGATGGTTCCAAACCGTGCTCGTTGTTATCCGATTCCACATGTGAAACCTCCAGGACCCTCCTCTGTCCGTTCATAGTGGCTGCCTGTGAACTCCTGCCTGTGAACTCCTGCCTGTGTGCTCCAGCCTGTGAGCTCCTGCCTGTGAGCTCCAGCCTGTGAGCTCC